CCTTGGTTTCTCATCTTATGCAGTGATGGTTATGCTTTGAGATCAACAGAGATTTTGTGTGTGTGTGTGTGTGTGTGTGTGTGTGTGTGTGTGGTGGGGGAGGCAGGGGTCTGGTGTTTCCTAAAAGAAAACAGCTGGGCGTGTATAAGGGAGGGCCTGCCCCCACTTCCTTCACCCCTTCCCTGCCCGTCGTCGCAGAGACGGCTGCTGCAGCTACCCCTCAGGAATGCCTGTGGATGGCTGTCGTGCAGCTGGAAGGCTCGCCCCTAGAAGTGGCTTCAAGGTAGTACCATTGGGGGGTATGGCCTTCAAAGTCTTGGGTCTTCCTCCCCCAGCAGTGACCCCAGGTTGCCTGTGTCAAAGGCAATTTGGGGCTATTTAAAGGAGGCTGACCTAGAGGTCACCTGGGCAAATCTCTTCCCTGGGGAATTACCACCAGATGGCAACCTGGGGCTTGTCTCCTCAAAGGTTCTCCCTGGTTGCCAGGAGAAGCACCAGAGCTCTGTTGTTGCCTGGAGTGGGCGAAGGGGGGCAGGGGCCCAGGACCTCAGTCCTTGGATGAGAATTCTCCTGGAAGAAGGATGACTGGGGAAATGGGTCCTAGCCGGCAGCGTGGGGGAGGACTGCTTTCCATCGTGATGTCATATAGTCTGGGAGGCTAGCAGTGGAAGCTTCTCAGTCCTCCTGCATTTTTTCATTGCTACATGGATACCTAAAGAAAATCAGGAGGAGTGAAGGGAATCAGACATCTGTGATGTCTCCAGCCTCCAAATCCCCCTGAGAAAGGGTGACCAACTGTCCCAGTTTTCCCCAGACTAAGAGGTCTCCAGGGATGTGGCCTTTCAGTGCTAAAGCCAGACTAGTCCTGGGCAGACTGGGCCAGCTGATCACCCTACCTAAGCACAAGCCACAGAGACCAGGCAGAGAGATGGAGAAGAAACCAGTCCTTCTGAGATCTGCTGCCTGATTTCTCATTTGATTTTATTTCGTCCTTACCTGACTTTGCCTGATGCCTTATTGTTATCTGTGGGTTCCTTAGCCTTCTTTTCAAGGTAGTGCCTGGGGTGTTGGAAGGATACCCTGACTTGCGGGGGTGGGGGTACTGGGGCAGGCGGTGCATAGCTTAGTCATTCATCTCATTCACGCTGAGGACCACAGGCTTGGGGTATGATCACAGCAGCCAAGCTGGCCTGCTCTCCCAGGGTACCGACCACCCAACACCCATCTCTAATTAACAGAGGAACCTTCAGAACGCCCCCTGTGTGTGGTTTCTGGAGTTATGATCCCATTTCAGAGATGGGAGAACTGAGATGGAGTCACTGACCCCAGGGCTGAGTTCGGGGAGAGCGAAGCAAGGTCTCCTGGATATCTGCCCCCTCACCCCATCTCCTGTTCAGGCAAAGACGGCTGTTTTCTTGAGGTCAGGAATAAGCCCTCTGCCCCAGGTCGGGGAGTCAGTTGCTCCTCCCCTGAAAGTGGCCTCAACCCCACTCCCCAGACATTAATGACATAATTAACTGAGGACAGAGAGCGAGAGGAGGTCACCCTGGCAGAATTCCAAAGGCAGAGAAGACTTCTGAAAATCTAGATATCGGACCAAACTTCTACCTGCTCTCACACCAGCAACTGGCATCCCAGAGACAGAATCGGAAGAAGCCAAGATGTAAGGGAGATGGCCGAGCGGCCTGGAGAGGGGAGGGAGACCAGTGGGCAGAGCGGTGCTTCTGTGGTCCGGAAGTAGGGCTGCCCTGGGGCTGGTCCCCACCTGCTCCTGCCCTGACCCACCTCTCCTCCACATGCCTCTTCCCCCCTGAGCCCCTCCCTCCCTCTCCTCTGCTCACAAGCGCAGGGCCCTTGGAGCTCAAACAGAGAGAGGCTGGAAGCAAGAGCCGAGCTTGCACTCCAAATTGTACTTGAGGTGCCAATTTGAAGGGGGAGGTGGAAAATTCTCAGGATCTCTGCTGGTTTCCTGGGTCTGATGACTCTGGGACTACTGAGGCATTTGGGGAGCTGTGTAGTTTAGGGCTAGGTTGCCCAGTTCCTTTTTCTGGGCAGCCCTAAGTGCCTCTTTCCCAGAGGGCTTGGGTGGACAAGCTGTCCCCTGTGGGGAGTTCCTCTCCCAGGAGCGGTGCCTTGTACACTAGTCTGGTGGAATGGAGTGGTGCTGGGCCTGGGGCTGAGCTCCACTTTGGGAACAGGCTCTTCCCTAAGACGAGGCACCTCTCTGAAGCCTCTCTCTAATTCCATTGGCCTTTGTGGAGAACCCCCAGGGCTAGTGGTGGAGGGAGTGCATTTCCACCACTTTGTCAGAGCGAAGATGCTCCTAACGGCCCTGATACTTGGTCTCCACCTGGGGGAAGCCTGAAAGATGGGGTGCTTGCCTGTTTACACCCTTTTTGAGTTTGCTTCAAGCCAAAGGCAACTTCCTGTTTCCACCAACAGGCCTCAGGGGAGATCAAAGGCAAGAGCCCTGAGCTCAGGGAAGAGGAACTGAGGCTGTGGCCTGTGCCACCACTGTGTAACGGGAGGGTTGAAATTTACGTGGAGAGCTGGGGCATGCGGAGGATAAAGGGAACAGAGGCAGAATTCCAAGGGACCCCAGCCTAGGTCTGGCTGTGCCTGTCCTGTCCTGACCGCTTCTCCAGGAAGCCCAGGTCATCTCCCCATCCCTGGATCCTGACCTCATGGCTGAGGCTAAACTCTGCTTCTCCCCGGTGTCCCCAGCAGGGTTTTCCTGGTCTCCCTCCCGGCAAGAGGAGAGGAGAGAAAAGAGGAGGCGCGGGTGCGGGTGTGGGGGGCTGTGTGTGGAGGGGTGTGGGGGGTGAGGGGGGCAAGGCCCTCCCCTCCCCGGGGGCCGGCCCCCACCTCTGCCCCGCGCAGCGGGCGGGTGGGGCGGACCGGCGAGGGGCTCAGGCGCGGCGGCGGCTGTCACTCACGCACTCACGCGGGAGGAATGCAGACGGCAGGGCTGCCCTGTGGTCACGTCTCCGCCCCACCGACGGAGGTAGGCGCCCAGGTACCCAGCCTGTGGGCCTTGGGAGCCCGCCAAGCTGCTGATGAAAGGCTCTGCAGATTAACCCTTTCTTGGCCGCACCCCCTCCCTGCCGCCAGCTGCCGGGTGGTCGCCAACCACGAGGGGCAGAGGGGCGGGAGGCTGGAGCGGAGGCTGGGCGCGCCGGCTAATGAGTGGGCGTCCGGACGCTGGAGGGGGGTCCCCCGCTCCTCCCCCACCCCGCCAACCCCGCCAACCCCGCCAACCCCGCTGGCCTCAGGCCTCTCTGGTTCTAGGGCTGACACACCTAAGAGACAGGTCTCCCAATAACGGATGATACCTCTTCCCCTTCCCCCACAAGAACTCTACGCGGGGCGGGCCAACCTCCCAGGCTGCTGTGCCCTCTCCTGGAAAGTCGCTGTAGCTCTTGAGCACTGGGCCGAGAGTCCAGGAATTCATATATTCATGCAGTGCATACATCTGAAGAGCTGAGAGGGTCAGCTCAGCTCTTAGACTAAGGGAAAGTGGGCTCTGAGCTTCTCCAGTGTGCAGAATTACAAGGTCGGTAATTCAAAATGTGGGGTTATTTGTGTCTGTTTTAGTAGCAATCTACGTTTCTCCCCCAAGCAGAGTCTCAGGCAGATGCCTAGTATATAAATCAAACAAAGTGGAGAGTTTCTGGTTGGAGTAGGGGGTGAGCTCTCCTTTCCCTCCCATCCATCTCATGAGAACACCTAGGGAGGATTCCAGGGAATGCGGTTTGGAAAGCTCTGAGATCTAGGTAAGGTGTGAGATCCTTTTTGGCTCTGACAACTTTCTCTTCCTTTTGTCTGCATCTGCTGGTGACGCAGATGCATCTCTGTTCATTGGGGGCCTTGCCAACTAGGCATCTGCTCTGTGTCCAGGGCTCACTGTGGGGTATTCTGTGATGCGCTGAGGTCTGGGCTCCCACTTCCAGGGTCTGGGGGCTGTGTCCTGAGCCCTCCATAGAGAGCTGCGCATTCGACTTTGTGTTTATCGCTCAGGGTCCATGTCCTGGGGCTGCACTCCCTCTCTATACTCCACATGTGGCTGGACCCAATACCTCCCCACAACCCTATGTGTTTCTCAGACACCCACCCCCTTTCTCTTGTGCTAAGAGTTTCAAGAGTCCAGGTGTGCACAGGGGTATCTGGTGGGCAGGGGTGAGGAGGGCAAACCTCTAGGAGCTAAACCTGCCTCAGAGTTCAGATCTCTTCCCCATCTTATCCAGCCTCCCTGGGGAGCTTCCTCCCCACCTAGGAGGGGTGGGAGCTCCAAGAGGGGCAGGAAGTAGAGGCCCAGTCAGGAGGCAGTGCCAAGTGGGGGCAAGAAGTGAGGAGGCCTGGCGCCCAGCTCCAACCCCCACCTTCCCACCCCACCCCCACTCCCCGTGGTGTCTCTGAGCATCATCACCCTGGGAGAAGCTATGCCACCCTGAAGCTTGCACGGAGGGGTAAGAGAACATCGGCTTTGGCTATAGTAGGAGAATTGGAGAGTAGACCTCAGGAGGGACTATGTGTCCAAATATAGCTCATCTCCCTCAAAAACTGGTACCTTGGGTATGTCTTATCCAGCGTGAAGGCATCACATTTTCCAAGGCACTATGACTAGAATTTGCAAGTCATCCTTAATGTACACTCCGTTCACCATCCAACTGGTCACCAAGCCCCATCCTTTCAGTAGCATTAGTAGTTCGAAGGTGCCCACTTTTCTTCCCACTTTGATTGCTCCCGATTCAACTGAGGCCTTTTTTTTTTTTAATAGTGATCTTGGGGTCTTCTTATTTATTTATTTTTATTTTATTTATTTTTGGCTGTGTTGGGTCTTCGTTTCTGTGCGAGGGCTTTCTCTAGTTGTGGCAAGCGGGGGCCACTCTTCATCGCGGCGCGCGGGCCTCTCACTATCGCGGCCTCTCTTGTTGCAGCGCACAGGCTCCAGACGCGCAGGCTCAGTAATTGTGGCTCACGGGCCCAGTCGCTCCGCCGCATGTGGGATTGTCCCAGATCAGGGCTCGAACCCGTGTCCCCTGCATTAGCAGGCAGATTCTCAACCACTGCACCACCAGGGAAGCCCAACTGAGACCTTTTTAAACCAGTCCCTGAGACTACTGCAACAAGGGCTGGTCCCCCTGGCTCCAGGGGGGCACACCCCAACCCCCCCAATCCCTCCTCCGCATCGTACTAGAGATCCTGGGATCTCAGAACACAGGTTGGAACATGCCACTCTCATGCTCAGAAACTTTGATGGCTCCCCACTGCCAGCAGGATAAAGTCCCAACGTTGCCTGGCATTCACAGCCTGCCCTGATCTGGTGCCAACTTCCCTTGCCAGCCTGGGCCACCACTATATACTTCACCCCCTTCAACTCCAGCCATAACCAGTGGCTTTTTTCACCGTAGTCCTGCCGCATGCTTTCACGGCCCACCACTTTAGCTCACAGACAAGCTTGTTCCTGGCACTTACGGTGCTGTGGGGGAGAAGGATTCATCACATAATCCCATAAATAAATATATCCTTACAAACTGTGATAAGTTCAGGGTGTCTTTAGGAACTCAAGGAGAACGTATCATGGGGGTGGGACAGATTTAGGCTGGGGACTCAGAGAAGGCTTCTACGCAGAAGAGGCACGTCAGGGTATTGGATGCAAGTTACTTTTTGCATTACCCTTTGGATGTTTGGGGAGGTTATCTTTGATCTTTTGTCAGGACGAATTTCCCTGTCTGCACACCCGGATTTCTTGGCGTCTCTGCCTAGCTTGTATTTCATTCTGTCTTGAACTGGAATCTGTCTTGTGTGTCGCAGCCCCTAGACTGTGAGCAGGTGAGGGAGGGGGTGTTGCTCATTCATGCTTAGAACACGACCCTGCAGCACACTGTAGGTCTGGAACACGGTAGGCCTTTTTTTTTTTTTTGCGGTACGCGGGCTTCTCACTGTTGTGGCCTCTCCCGTTGCGGAGCATCGGCAGACGGACTCTCAACGACTGCACCACCAGGGAAGCCCCACGGTAGGCCTTTAATGAAAGTGTTTTTATTTTTTAAGTGAGGGTGTGGAGGCTTCTGCATTGAATGCATATGGAGGTAGACCTGAAAACAGGAGACATTCTCTGAGAGGACTTAAGTGAGGCTTGGCATGGAAGGGAGGGGGTGGGCATTATGGGCTCCTAGATGTCCCCTCTCTCCAAAGCTCTGTCCTCTCTCTGTCTAAACGACTCCCAACCCATACTTCCCAACGTGCCTCAGAATCCTCCCAGTTCCTAGGAAACAGCATTCCATTTAGCCCAGCTCCCCCTCCCCCTTAATCCCCTAACCCTAGATGATCCATATTTGGATTGAGTGTGGAATGGTGGGGAAGGGGCTCTTTTTCCTGCTGGGAGAGTGGGTGCTGACATTAGGAGCTACGGGTATTATCAGCTCCAGATCTGGGCTTTACCATCCCCCACCCCCAAGGTCTCAGCCACCCAGTAGCACCCCCTGCAGGCTGCTGTGTCAGCCTGACTGCAGGTCTGGGGGATAAAGGTGCCTTCTTCCCCTTGGTCTCACCCCCACCACTAAACGCCAAGCAGTCCCTTCCCTCTCTAGCTCTTTGGGGGCACAGAGGGAGAGAAGGGGTTAGCCTGCCTGGCTTTGATGAGGGAAGGGAGGAGGAGGGAGGCTGATTTGGGAATGACCCTAGAGGCTGCCTCTCCATACGAAACTGCCCTTCCCCCTACCTCAGCCATTCCAGATGACAGGGCAGCAGACAATCTCCCAGGTTTTCTAGTTCTCTCCAGCTTCCCTGCAGACTTTCCCATCAGTGGAAAATTTTGGATGTGAACAAGGAGTGGGGTAAGGCTGTTGGACCCATGAAGGTTCCAGGCTGACCCATCAAATCCCAGCCCAGTCCCCTTGGGCCAGGTTCTCTGGGAAAGCTCCCACTTCGGGAATCCTTTGGTCTGATGGTGAGGGCCCAAGCCCTGCCTCAGGGAGACCCCAGTCTGAGAGTGGAGATCTAGCCCCTGTTGTGAGGGTACTCCCAGGGTGCTGAGGGTCATAGGATGAAACCGGGATAGAGATGCTTAGCCCCTCCGTGAGGGCTAGCTGCTAAGGTGCTCCAGCCGGCTATACAGATTGGGCTACTCCCACAGTTCATTCCTTCCCTCAGAGCAGCTGCAGAGGCCAGGTGAGCCATGGTGCTAGCAGCACAGGTGGCAGCCGGCAGGTGGGGAGAGCAGGGGAGGAGGAATGTGCCCCAGGCTCAGGCAGATGCCACCGGACAGTCCAGTAATCCCACCCCTTCCCAGTGACCTGCTCACCTCACGGCCTGCCTATCACAGTCCTGGTCCCTAGGCCAGGAGTCACGGCCAGGTCCTGGGTTCCAGGTAGCCATTCTGGGAGGAGAATTAGCCTCCAGACACAAGGGACATCTTGTGGGGCATTAGTCATTGCCACACTGCCATTTTAGGAACGTGGACCCTGGGCTGTGGCTTATTTAATCCCCATAGTTAAATGCTGTGTTACTGTCATTTTACAGGTAGGGAAACCAAAGCTCAGAGCCATGAAGTCACTGATGGAATTTACCTTGTGCAGCCCCTGCGCGGAGAAGCAGTGGGTGGGAGACCCTGAGGGTCAGAGAAAGAGGCCTTCTCTTGGACCCTCAGTTCCTGTGAGCTTGAGACAGGGGCAGGGATTCAATCAGGGGACGCTTCTCTGCCCAAGAAGGAATTTTTCCCTACAGTGAGAGAGATTAGACCTGGGCTGGGAGTGGGGACAGAGGGGCCGCAGGCCAGCACCCCACAGCATGCCAGGGACCCTGCACTGAACAACCTCCGCCCACCTCCTCACCTCACCCCTCCTGAAGCTGAGGGAGCAGGTGGAGAGATGGTGGCTGCCCAGAGACATGACCTCAGCAGAGAGTTTGGTGCCCCCACTCCCGCCCTGCCCTGTGTGGTGGCCCAGGTGTCCCACTGCTGCAGTCCTAGGGCAAGCATCCCTGAGAACCCCCAGGTGCCCCATGGGCCTCTCCTTGGTGATGCCTGAGAACATGGGCAGGGGCCCAGACCAGTGAGTCCAGGGAGAGTCTACCCAGCTTTGCTCTCCAATCCGCCTGCACCCCCCTCTGCTCCGCCCCCCTCTCTGCTCCCTCCCCACCAGCTTCCCTCCCAAACACTCACTCATTCATTCCCCAGACCACCTACAAACCACCCATTTGCCCGGACCACACAGCTCCTCTGCCAGGCTCAGCTCCCAGGGATAATGGCCACCCCACCCCCATCCTTCCAGGACCCACCCCCAAGCCTAATTACCACCTTGGCACCTCTGGGGCTGGGCGGGGGGCACTGACCTCCACTTCTGCTTGGAAGTCTCTTGGGCACAGAAGGCCGGTTTTAGTCTGGACATCAAGAGGCAGGAGCAAATGAGAGACCCTCAACTGAGACCCACTCTGGTCCTTCCCACCCCACCACCCAGTCTCTGGGCCCAGGCTGCTGGGGCAGGGCAGGAGGCAAGATGGTGGAGACCCCTGTTTGCTCCTTGGTTCTCCTGGGCACAGTAAGGGGACTGAGGAAGGACAGACCCGAACTGCCCTCAGGTGCAGGTCAGGGAGGACTCCCCAGAAAGAGCACTGGACCGGGAGTCAGAAGACCAGGGTTTAGTTCTACTGCCCTGACTGCCTGCACTCTCCCCGCCACCCGTCCTGGCCTCAGTTTCCTTGTGCATGAAAGAGAGGAGAGCTGTCTCTAAGGCTCTCCCGCATGGGGCCTTGAACCCCAGGGAGGTGACTGTGAAGTGCCAACTGAGGGTCTCTGCACTGCTGAGGGACCCCTGAGCAAAGAAGCAGGGAGAACAGAAGTGGATGGAGGAGGCTGCCAGAGGGCAGAGGGCCAGGACAGGGAGACAGAGCAGGGCTGGCCTGACACCCGTCAACAACGGGTGGGAGGCGGGATTGGGCGGCCTGCCGGGTTAGGAGTGCAGAAATCAGGAAGTCCTCACAGGCTCCTGGAGCTGGTGGGCTCTGTCCCCCCAGTCCCCTCAGTAGCGGCAAGATGGTGGCCAGGGAGGGCCTCCCTGAAGTGGCCTGTGATCCTGGAGGGGGTCCTCTGCCTTCCCCTCTGCAGCGACTACACTGACCCACGTCCCAGGGCAGGGACCAGTCACTTTCAGTGCCCAGCACAGGCCCTGGCTCAGAGAAGGTGCCCAATAAATGTGGGATGAATGAATGAGGATGGAACAGCTGGGGGCCAATTGAGGCAAACTCGGATGTGTGAGCTTACCTGCGGCTGCAGGGCTTGGGTCAGCAGGGAGAGGGGAGAGCAGTGGGCAGGGTTGGCGTTGGTGGCTTCCCCCTCCCCAGGAGGAGCTGAGCTGGGCCTAGGCCCTGGGGGCCAGGGCCACCACGGCTGGTCCGGGGCGGATGAGGTGGTCTCTGTGGGGTCCCTCTAAGGATCCCTCCTTCCCCCATAATTACTTCTGATTAGCTTCACCACAAAAGCCAGGCTGGAAAGAGGGGTGTTTGGGGCATGGGGGAGGGGACAAGGTGGAGCAGAGCACTCAGGACAAGCAGGGCCCCCAGCTGTGTTCCCTCCCCACAGCTCAACACACACACACACACACACACACACACACACACACACACACACACCATGATCTGGAAAATTCCAATGGAGCCCCATCTACTGAGAGTAGCAATGATCCAGGGACATCAGGCATTTTAGACAACTCACCCGTATGTATTAACTCAAAATGCCCCCTCCAGATTTCTTGCAGTGGAGGGCTGGTGGGCAGAGCTTCTAGGCAGTGGGGAGCAGGAAAGAGAATAAGCCCTTCAGGCCAGAAGGGAGCTTTGGCAGGCATGTCCACCATCCCAACACAGGGCCCAACCTGGAGAAGTCCCCAGAGCTCCCTGCCAGGACTCAGAAAGTTCTTCCCCGTGTCCAGCTGCCCTTTCTGCCTGATCTGTGCTAAGCTGAGGATCTGCAGGTAGATTTGTCATGTCCATGGCCCTCACCCACTCACTCCTTTTGAGACAATCCATGCTAGGGCCTTCTCTGGAGGCCAAGAGGCTGGGGTCCCCTCCTCTCTAACCTGGGGGCAGGACACTCCCTCCCACTTCCTCACCAGGCAAGTAGGAACTACAGCTCAGGTCACTCAGACTCACCCTCCAGGAAGGCCCCTGGAGAGGGGGCAGCATGTGAAAAGTGTCCTCTCTTTCCTGACTGTTGTGGTATAGGCACTTGTGGACTGGGGGGTAGAGAAGAAAGGCGGGACATGACGGCTTCCTGTGGCCCCAGCTTTGGGGAAACTATTACGTAACCAGTAGTCGTATTAGCTAACAACTAAAACATAAACATTTACTGTAGGTCTGAGCACCAGGCTCCAATCTTTACAAACTTTCTTTCACTGGCTCTCTGTCTTTTAGGGAGAGCCCAACCCCTGCCATCTGAGATCTCCCCAGTCTGATGGGAGAAGCCCTGACCCAATACCTCCCCTCACAAGCCTCTAGTCTGAAGAGAACCAATCCCTGGCCTCAGGGAGCCTCTAGTCTGATAAGGGGAGACACAACATACAAACAGAATGGACACTCCTGACCCGGTCTCCTACTGAGTCCCTCCTTCCCCAAAAGGGAGCTGGGCTTTTAGAGGTGCGAGGGACCGCGAGGCAGCAGTGGTTGGGGAAGGCACGCAGGCTCCCTGGTGGCGTTGGGCTGCCTGGAGGAGGCGGCGGGGCCGGGCTGGGTGCGCGGAGGAGGCCGCCCCAGCGGCGCTCCCACGACCCGGGCAAGGCCGTCTGGGCGCCGTCTCCGGTCTCTGGGACTGCGGTCGGGGCACCGCGGGGCCGTGTTTGAGCCGGTCAGCACCCCGCGGAAATTACAGGGGCGCTCGGCGCTGCGGTCGCGCCCCCCGGGGCAGCGCCCGCTGGTTGGAGGCGTTTAAATTGAAAGCAGCTTTGGGGAGAGGGGGCGGGCGCGGGGCGCCGAGCAAGGGGAGGGGCGGCCGGGCACAGCGACCCCTTTGTCTGCGCCCGCCGAGGGGCGGAGCCTTGCGGTGAGAGCGGCGCCCCCTCCCCGCGCTCCGGCCGGCCTGTTCCCACGCCGCCCAGCAGGCCGAGGCCTGCGCCCCTTCTCCACCTGGGTCTCTGCCTCCCCTCCTCGGGCAGCGCACGCGTGCACTTCCTCTGGGAGGCCCTCCCAGACTAACAAGCACCGACAGTCTGGGTGTCCCGGAGTCACAGAGGGTCAGGAGATCTGGGTTGAGTCCTCTAATAGGCCCGGTGACCTTGATCAAATTTCCTCCTTTCTCTGGGCCCCAGTGTCCTCTACAAAAATACAGATATTTTACTCTTTCTGCCTACCTCTCTTAGTGATGTTAAAGATGATTTGAGCCAATGTAAGGGAAAGTGTTATGAAAACTGTAAACTGTCGGAGGAATAATAAATACCAAGAATAACACCCCCAACTCCCTACTCTTCATTGTGAGAGATCATTTGTACACAGGTGTGCTTGTGCTGGAAATCCAGCGTGCTAGGGATGGGATGGGGGAGGAGTTAAGCAGCCAACAGCGTGGAGCAGGGGAGAAACCCCGGTGGACTTCTCGGAGAAGGGGGATGTGGAGCAATCAGGGCTAGGAAGGAGTGAAGGGAGCAATACTGGAAAAAGGAGAGGGTGTCTCTGCCTCCTGCGGGGGAAGGTCACGGGACGGAGAGGCAGGAGCCAGGAAGGAGGAGGGTGTCTGTAAGATGAACATGTCCTGCCCGTGGGCTGCAGCCGGAGAAGTGGCTTGGGGCAAGAGGCTGTTTGCCCATTTGGTGGGTGGCATGTCTCCTAGGAAGGCAGGTTGGTGGCAGAGCCTGGTGCAGCCCCCGATGTTTGGGAGGGAATGCCTATTGCCCCTAGGGAGTGTGCTCCCCTTGGCCCCTTCCTATTCTTTTTCCTGAGGGCTCTGGGCACCAGGTGCAAGGAGCTTGGCTTGTTTCCTTTGCTTCCAGCAGCAGCAGTGGAAGGTTGTTTGCCAGGCCTGATGCCCAGGGACATAACCATTTGCTCCACATCTGGCAGAGCTGCATGTTTCTGTTTTACTTTCTAGAGGTCCTTAGTGGGCAGCCAGGGATAGGGCAAAGCCCACAGTTCCAGGTACCTGTTATGGGCACCTGACACGTACACACTTGGGGGCAAGATGGAGAGCTGAGCCTGGCCAGAGGGAAGAGGAATCTGTAAGGGTGCCCGAAGAGGAAGTCGAGGAGCCGCCCTGGAAAGGAAGGAAAGAAGAGGGTGAGGCCAAGCAGGGAGGGAGGGCAGAGGGGCTGCACCAGGTGTTTCCCCCAGAGGAGCAGGGCTGTCAGGTAGAGTTTCTTCCCAGTCCTCTCTGACACCCCATTGGGGCACCAACACCTCCTCCAGAGCCCAAAGCCCCTCAAAGGCCTACACAGAGAGGGCTCTGATCTGGCAAGTGGGATGAGAGCTACAAGTGGGCTTTGGGCACAGACAGGGGGTGGGGTGGGGGTGGGCAGCTGGCCAGCTCTGCCTGTCCCCTCTTACCTCCTCCCCGGCCCGAGCAGCTGAACCCACCCAGGGCACCTCACTCACCCCCCGGCATGTCCCATGCTCGTGCCAGTGGGTCACAGGGCAGGAATGCCATAGGAAAAGAACGAGGGAGCCCAGCAAGGGCTGGTGACTGCCCAGAGTGACCCAAGTGGTTAGGGCTGGGCCACCCCTGTCCCGAGAGCTGGCCAGGCTCAAGGAACATCCCTGACCCCCAGGTCTGGGACCCACTAGACACAATCTCTCCCGGGGGGCAGGGACTGGAGGCTTCCTGGACACCACATTCTGCATTAGCAGCCGGATACCAACAGGACTCCATCCTCGTCCAGGCTGAGGGCTCCACCAGCAGCCCTCTGAGGGTGTCTCTCCTGCCCCCTTCCCTCCCCATCCCTCCCGCTGCAGGCTGCCCTTTGCCATGCCCCCACCTCCTTAGAGCCCAGACTGGCTTCTGCGTATGCTGCATACCCCTCAGACCATGAACAAGCTTTTCCCAAGCCCACTTCTTGTAGGAAGCCCACCAGATTGGGCAGGGATTGGGAAGGGGAGAGCCAGACACCCACAGGTCTTGGCCTCCAGCCCCCATCATGGGCCAGGCCTGAAAGAGGCAGTATCCTGTTTTACCCTACTCTGCTCAGCCCTAGGGTCCTAGAGAGCAGAGCTTGGAGCAGGAGGGAGAGGGTCCTGAGGCTGAGGCCTCTACAGGCCCTGGGCCCCAGCTGACAGGCTCAGCATGGGGTTGAGGGTGACTCTCCTTGGTCAAATACTTCCTTGGGGCCAGGGATGAAACTTTTGGGAGATAGAGTGGGACAGGAAGAGGCTTACTCATCCACCTGGGTCATCCCTGTCATTAAAGTACCCATGGGTAGGCGCCATGGCAATGACCATCACAGAGGAGTCCGTGATCTCGGGAACTCATGTCTGATGCTTTTAGAAACGGTAGGCCGGGGGAGGAGACCCAGAAGGTGAGAAGGTGAGTTGCCCCACATGACCTCCAAGGCTCCTTCTGAGCTAAGACTCTGTGGTCCTATGATCCTAAGACTCTAAAATCCTGAGCTGATGTGGTCCCGAGATATTGGGATTGGAATAACTGCCTTCATAATAATAGCGCCAGGCACTGTTACCAAACTTTTCATGCATGGTCTCATTTACTGCTCCACAGTGAGGGAACTGAGGCACAGGGGGGGTAAGTTTGTTCATCCCCGAGAGCCTTGGGACAGGCAGCCCAGCACAGGTCTGTCCAACTTCAGAGCCTGCTCGTTTACCTGCTTCACTGCAGCTTTTGTGACTCTAAACCCTGCTTTCACAGGGTCCATAATTCAGCCAATCACCAAGTCCGACATCACTGAGTCCAACATCAAATCATGACTCAGCATCTTTGATGGGGAAGCAGCAGGTGGGAGGGGTGGATCCTAGCCGGGAGCTGTGAAAACAACAGTCTTCTGTCGTCTTCTGGGTCCTGGAAAGCTTCCTGGAGGAGGAGGATGGGTAAGAGAAGGCAGAAGAGGGGGAGGAGGAGAAGAGATGTTTAGGAGGCGTGGCCATTCCAGAGAGCAGGGTGGGCGCTTGGAGGGAGATGATCTTGTTTGAGAATAGAGGATTGGAGGGACCCAGAGGGGCAGGACAGAGGAAAGGAGTCTGGTCTGGCTGCATTCCCTTCCTCTGCCAGCCCATGGACTCAGACCCCAAGGGGCAGATAAGGCTGTGCCCCATGGCCCTCTGAGAAAGCCTCCTGTTTCTCGCCCCCTCTCCCAGCTACTTAGCCCTCTTCTCCAGGCTGGAGGCCACTTTCAGCCACTCGCAGGCTGAACCCCTAGGGGAAGGGCCTTTGCTGATCTCCCCCAGGGCTAATTACAGCAGAGAGCTGGAGTTAAACACTTGCTCTTCTCCTAGGAGCACCTGTCCTTGTTCCCCCAAAGGTATGGAGCCTACAGACCCCTTCCCTCCCCACTAAGGAGACAGTGCTGCCTTCGCAGGCGGCCGAGGAGGCTGGATAGAGGAGAAAAAACCAACACCCAGTGCTAGCCTCCGGGCAAGTGGGAATACCCTCACTTTGCGGAGGGAGACACACCGGCAGGTGCAGACACTTGCTCAAATTGCCATTGAGGTAAAAGCCCGCACGTCGGTTGGTCTGGCTCTCTTCTGGCTTCAAGGTGCTAGGGGTCTGTGCCCAGCTGGTGCATTTTGCACGCCCTCCAACTCCCACTCCCTGCCTGGCCCATGGGTTTGCCCACGAAGGGACTGCAGTGTTGACTGGGTCCCCCCCCCCACCCCGGGAGGCAGGGCAGAGAGCACCCCCAGTACAGGCCGCTTCCCTCTTCTCGTGAATACTGCAGCTTTTCGGCTGGCTGGCGGTAGTCCTGGCTGACCTTGACTGAGGGCCTTCTACGTTTTAGGCACTGGGCTAAACATTTTAGCAGACGACATGTTGAATCCTCGTAAGAGCCGGACGAGATACGTCCTCTTACTTTCTCCGGTTTACAGATGAGGAAACCAAGCCTCAGGAAGGTGAAGCGATGTATCAAGATCACACAGCTATATGCAGTGGAGGTGAGATTTATATCCAGAATCCTCTCCCTTAGGCTCTCTACCACTCCCTTCGGTGATAAAATTGCTGGTGTGTGACTCTCGTCTCCCCTCACTGGGGTCCAGGTGGATGGAAGGGCAAAGCCTCTCTTGCCTGCCCTTTGGCCTCCTCTCAACTGCCCGAGAAGGAGGGGCCTGGGGCTCTGCCTCTAAGAAATGAGGCCATCTCTCCCAGCCCAGGGTGCGGGGCTGCAGGGGGAATCAGATAAGCTGTGAATCCAGTTTCCTCTCTGCTCACCCTTGTCATCAGCTGGGGTTTCAGCTCCCTCCAGGGTCAGAAGGAAATGACTCATGGTGTTTGGAAAGTGGATAAGGGTGCGGGCTCACATCCTGCTACTTGCTTGCTGTGGGACCTTGGACAGATTACTTAACTTCTCTGTGCCTCAGTGCTGAGGAAATCCAAATACCAGGCTCATAGGACTAATGAGAGGATTGAGTTGGGGAGAGTTTGCAGAGTTTGGAACAGTGCCTGGCACACAGTAAGTGCTATTGCTATTATTATTAGCAGGGGAATCAAGAGAGGACTGTTTTAAAAGAGGGGCCATCAAATATGTGGAAGTCTATAAAAAGGACATGGTTGATTTTTAGGGAGGGGTGTCTAGATTTCCTAATTTTTCAAGGCCGAGGATTCCTGAGAGGGGAGCAAAGGGTGAATGGTTTCCAGGTGACATTCCTCCCTTCCCACCCCCCTCCCCAGGAGGATAAAAATTCCTCACAGGTTTCTGTGCCCTTTCATGTAGAACCTGCAGAGCCCTGGCCAGCATTCCTCTGCCCCTCCTGTCAGCTGGGGGCCAGTGGAGGGGGTCATTAGCCCCTTTTACAGCTTGGTAAAGTGTGAGGGCAGATGCCTCTACCTGAGGTCCCAGCTGGGACCTGCTTAAAGCAGGTGCCCCACCCCCCAGAGGAGGGGCTTTGAGACTGAGAACAAGGGGAGGAAGCCCGTGAGGTGGGCGCTCAGGGCTGCCTGCAACGTGCCTGCGGTGGGGACCAGAGGACCAAGTCTGGTTACTTCCCTGACACCATTCCTGTCCTGAGGTCCCCTGGAGATGGGTTCCCTGTGGACACCAGGGCATGTGCAGTGTTGCCGCAGGGAACAGGAACCCCAGCTCTATCCCCGCCCTCCGCAGCTCCCAGGCTACAGACCTAGAGTGACATCTAACCCAACTAGTCTGAGCTGGGGAAACAGGGGAGATGGAGGGGAAAGCTGCAAGGATGGGGAAGTAAGGGCAGGCTTCCTGCAGGAGAGGGTAGGAAAGATCAGGGCTGGAGCTGCAAGGGTGGGCACAGAGGGTAACGGAGACCTGCTCTTTTAACCCTCTGCCTCAATGTGTGTGTGTTCTTCTGCATCCATCCACCCATCCATCCATTGACCCACTTTCTGTTTAAACAGGACCCACAGAAGCCCTTTCCACAGCTGCTGGAGCTGTTCTACCATATTACAGGCTAATGGCAGGGAGGGAGCTTCCCTTCACAGAAGTTCTTTGGGCAGTTATTGCAGGAAGGGGTCTTGCACAGGATGAGGGCTCGTCTTAACTCTCCTCCAAGATGTCCTTCTTGCTTGGAATACTGGGAGGTACTCCACCTCAGTTCTGCCCTCTGTGGGCCTGGAGCTCATGGCTTTTTCCCTCAAGCCAGTGGCGTCATCCATTTTTCCATTCTCCTTCCCTGCCACCTCCAACCCACCCCTCCTCCTTGCTCAGCCTGGCCGCACCATAGCCGAGGTAGACTTTTATGTCCCTGCCCTCCCTTGTCTCCCTACCTCTAGCCCTGCCTCTTTGCAGCAGCTGGGGCTATTTCCAAAGGACCTTGCTGAAAATGCGGACTTCCCTTGCTCCAAAGCCTTCCGTAGTTCCCCACTGCCTACAGAAAAACAACCCTCTACCAGTGGGCCCCAGGCTCTCCCACTTTTACACATGGCGTGTGCTCGTCACACCTTGCTCATGAACTCGCTCTTTTTTTTTTTTTTTTAATAAATTTATTTTATTTATTTATTTTTGGCTGCATTGGGTCTTCGTTGCTGTATGCGGGCTTTCTCTAGTTGCGGCGAGCGGGGGCTACTCTTCGTCGCGGGGCACGGGCTTCTCATTGCAGTGGCTTCTCTTGTTGCAGAGCACGGGCTCTAGGTGCGTGGGCTTCAGTAGTTGTAGCACGTGGCCTTAGTAGTTGTGGCTCGCGTGCTCTAGAGCGCAGGCTCAGTAGTTGTGGCGCACGGGCTTAGTTGCTCCGCGGCATGTGGGATCTTCCCAGACCCAGGCTCGAACCCGTGTCCCCTGCATTGGCAGGTGGATTCTTAACCACTGCGCCACCAGGGAAGCCCCCGAACTCACTCTTAGTCTAGGCTGAGAAACTGCCTCCTTGATGAAGACTCTGGCCGGCGCCCCTACCGAGGCAGTGGTCGAATTGCTGTGATGGTTTCCTGAGGGCAGGGCCACACCTTTTCATGTTTGTATCCCCAGTGCCCAGTAGGGGCTCAACAAAAGTCAACCAACAGTCTGAATGAGTCAGTGAGTGAATGACTCCTTACCCTTCTGCTTTGAGGACCTCCCATCTTCCCATCCCTGCTTGTCAGAACACTTCCCATCCTTCGGGGGCATCTCAGTGCCTCCCCATCCTTAATGCCGTCCCTGGGGCCCTCACCTGGGAAGGTCCGCTCTTCCCTGAACCGCCTTCTCATCATCTTTGTGCTCACTGCACAGCAGGCTTCTCGAGGGCAGGAGCCGAGTCTTCCTCATGTTGTTGGATTGGTAATCATGTTGATATAAGCCCTAATTTAAAAAAACTTTCACCCACACCCTGTTCAAAATTAATTCAGCAGACAGTTCCTGAACTCTAAGGCTAGCACGTGCCAGGCACTGTTCCAGGCTGGGGCTCCTGGCTGCAGCGTCACATACGCCTGTGCGGGAGGCAGATGTGAACCAACCCACTGAGGTCAGGCCACTGTGTCTTCTGGCCCCACTTCAGAGCTAAGTTACTGAGCCCAGAGAAGGTGACCCTCCTGCTGGGTCACCCAGCCAAAGAGTGCTGCTGGGCTGGCCCCAGGCTGCCCCTTTCCCCCTGTGGCTCAGCAGGAGTCCTTTGACCCAGCCCAGGACAGCCCAGCTCCGATGGTTGCTCCATAAAGGGATGAGTCTACCGTATTGAATTTCTTCTTCTTCTTTTTTTAATTGAATGTAGTTGATTTACAATATTGTGTTAGTTTCAGGTGTACAGCAAAGTGATTCAGTTATATATTGATATATAGAGAGAGATATAGATATGTTTTTTCTGATTCTTTTCCATGTTAGGTTATTATAAGATATCGAATACAGTTCCTTCTGCTATACGGTAAATCCTTGTTGTTTGTCTATTTCAGATAAAGTGGTGTGTATCTGTTAATCCCATACTCCGGATTTATCCCTCCCACCTCTTTCCCCTTTGGTAACCACACGTTTGTTTTCTATGTCTGTGAATCTATTTCTATTTTATATATAGATTCATTTGTATCATTTTTAAAAATATTTATTTATTTGGTTGAGCCGGGTCTTAGTTGCGGCAGGCAGGCTCCTTAGTTGCGGCATGCAAACTCTTAGTTGCGGCATGCCCGTGGGATCTAGTTCCCTGACCAGGGATCGAACTCGGGCCCTCTGCATTGGAAGTGCGGAGTCTTATCCACTGCACCACCAGGGAAGTCCCTGTATCATTTTTTAGATTCCACATGTAAGTGATATCATATGATATTTGTCTTTCTCTGTCTGATTTACTTCAATTAGTATAATAATCTCTAGGTCCAGCTGCAAATGGCAATATTTCATTCTTTTTATGGCCAAGTAATATTCCATTGTGTGTGTGTGTGTGTGTGTGTGTGTGTGTGTGCGCCATCTTCCTTATCCATTCATCTGTTGATGGACACTTAGGTTGCTTTCATGTCTTGGCTATTGTAAGTAGTGCTTCTATGAATATTGGGATCCATGTATCTTTTTTTTAAATAAATTTATTTATTTTATTTATTTTTATTTTTGGCTACGTTGGGTCTTTGTTGCTGCATGCGGGCTTTTCTGGAGTTGCGGTGAGCAGGGGCTACTCTTCATTGCAGTGCGCGGGCTTCTCATTGGATGGCTTCTCTTGTTGCAGAACACAGGCTCTAGGCGCACAGGCTTCAATAGTTGTGGCACTTGGGCTCAGTAGTTGTGGCTCACAGGCTCTAGAGCGCAGGCTCAGTAGTTGTGGTGCACGGGCTTAGTTCCTCCGCGGCATGTGGGATCTTCCCAGACCAGGGCTCGAACCCGTGTCCCCTGCATTGGCAGGCGGACTCCCAACCACTGCGCCACCAGGGAAGCCAAGCCCATGGGATGCATGTATCTTTTCAAATTAGAGTTTTTGTCTTTTCCAGGTATATGCCCAGGAGTGGGATTGATGGATCATATGGTAACTCTATTTTTAGTTTTTCAAGGAACCTCCATCCTGTTTTCCATAGTGGCTGAACCAATTTACATTCCCACCAACAGTGTAGGAGGGCTCCCTTTTCTCCACACCCTCTCCAGCTGAATTTATTCTTAAAATGATAGCAAATGCAGCTTCTTATTTTATTTGAGGTCTTATTGATTGGAAATCCAGTAGATGCCCCAACTAGGTCATGAGCCATTTCTGTTTCTGACATGGAAAGACATTTCAAGGTTGACTTGTTACTTTCTGGATGAAACCAAGGTCAGGGTCACTCTTGTCCTCCACCCACTTCTTCTGTTGCTTGTCTCCTAAAGGAGAGGGTTTGTCCTCATGTCTTGGGTCCTTTTTCCCACACCATCAGCTCCTGTGATCAGGGGCTGGGTCCTTGGTACTCCGGTGTTCCCTCTCAGAGCAGAGAAGGGCTCCATCCAGACTGGGAAGTGAGTCCCCTGCCCCACCCAGAAGTCTGACCCCAGTCCCTCCTGCTGTGGCCACCACCATCCCTGTGCTGTGGTCTCCAAGGGAGACCTCTGCCCTCTGGA